CTACATAGATTACATTTATTTATACATTTATTTATTTATATATTTATGTATTTATTTATTTATTTATTTACTCATTTGTATATTTCAGGATTTAACTTACATATTAATTAACTGCGTATTATTTATTTAATATTGACCTTAACGACATTCCATAGAACCCCCGTTTCACCGCGTTCTATTATTATTTAATTTTTTTTTCACGCTCTGACATCTTCTTACGTAAAACCGTTACGAGAATACGTAACGAACGTAACTGCGCGAGAGACACTCCAAGCGATCGGTGAAGGGTTTTGTGGGTCATGGAGGAGGAAGGTAAATAAAAGAGCAGCGCTAGTAACAGCAGCAGCTGGTTTCAGACGGTAACCGGGAGCTTTTTGACACTGCGGCACTGACGAGTTGTTGCGGGTACGGTTGTGAAATCCGACCGGAGAGGACAGACCGGAGAGGAGGGACCGGAGAGGAGGGACGGTCGGTTCGGCTACAGCGAGCTTGCTGTCGGCGGTGAGATGAACATCATGTTACCCGTCTATTCATGCCTCTCTCCGGCCACAGAGAGCAGGAATCACCCCTGGTAGCCAGCTACTAGTAGCCAACGCTGAGCTGCACTAGCGATGGTTCATATTTCTGCGTTTAATTTTGGTTTCGGCTCGTTGTTTAAATGAGCAGCATGTCGACTACATGGGAAGAGACACGTTAACGTTGAGTTTACGGAGCTAATAGTTAGCATCGTGCAAACACAAAGCTACCAGTGTTGCTGCTCATTGTTACCTGGTTTGACATGTGACAGCGGTATTAAAAACCACCGTGTGTGAGCTGGCAGTGGGTTGCTCTTATGTGTGTTATTTTTCTGTCACTGGAATAATTCTCACAATAAAAGTGAGTGTGTGTGTGTGTGTGTGTGCAGGACAACAACAACAAAAAAAAACACACCTTCTTCCTCAGGTAATGCGTCCACTAGGCTTGCTGTATGTAATGGTTAAGTGAGCGAGTAAACAGGTGTCACTGTGGCCTCTCTGTGATAGTGTGTGTATTAATATCTTTGTTTAATCCTCTTACTTTGACCCTAATCATCATACAGCAGCTGTTTGAACCAGTAGGAATAAAATATCCTTAAATCTGTGGTCTAGACAATAAGAGTGATGGGCAGTCCACCTGTGGAGTGGACTCTCTTGTGTAATGTGTTCTGCAGGGGCTTTTTAAGTGAAGATTGCTATAATAGACTAGAGTTTGAGTGGAGTAGACAGGGAATTAAATTTCTATTCCTGACAGTTCATAATGGAAATTGTAACCATTACGTATTCCTCCAGGGGGGTGAGAGAAGTTGAGTAGGCCAGCATGTACAACAGTTTGTCAGCTGTTCATCCCCGGGACTGGATGTAGGTCAGTGAGTTGGGCAACAGGGTTTCCTGATGGACCAAATATAATTATTCTGCACTTAGAGACTAAATCATCATCGTACAGATTTTTTCTTTTGTTGTTGTTTTACCTTTGGAGGATCAGGTGAGTGATCATTAGAGAAACGAGGACCAAGTAGGACCTAATATTAATATAATATTGATGCTTTGACGTAATAACAAGTCTGGATATCATTTAAAAAAAAGTATACTAGATTCAATACAATACCCAGAGTTTTGGTACTAATACCAAGATGTTAATTAATTTGTTCAGTACCTTTCTGGGGAATGTAAACCGGTTGTTCTCTGTTTTTTTTTTTTAAAGAAAATACTTCTTTTTAATTTCTCAAAGGATAAATTTTGTCTCAACAAAACTGTAAACAACTTAAATAAAATAGATGGATAGATATTTTATTTATCCCGAGGGAAATTCAAGAAAATGTTAATAAATTTGGTTTGTTTTTTCATTTAAATGAATAAATCAAATAATAAGTTAACAAGAGGATGGACTTTCCATTGCAGCTTCTTGATATTCAGCGTTATGGATATATTTTGTGGGTCCCTGTCTGTGGTTTTGGTTATAACAATATGGAAATATAGATTTAAATGTTGTCTTTCTCTCATTGTAAAGGCTGCAGTGCAGATAAAAGCTGAAATCCTTTGAAGTTATCAGACTAGCTGAGTGAAATATGCAGTGAATGCCTGTGCCTGCCGGGCCATCATATCCACATTATTAATGGTTCACCCTAAGTCAGGAAATGACACGGAAAACAGCAGATGGAGCTTGAATGTGGTTACGTGACATGAGACTATGTGCGCAGTGTGAACACCCTCAAGAATTCACCTTGCTTGGCCTGACAGCCCTTAAAGGGGTCAGAGACATTAAAACATGTTTTTAGGGGTGTTTGAGAGACTGCGTGACAATATATTTTGGTGTTTAATTTAAAAAAAAGGTCCAAAATTCAAAGTAGTGAATCACTGGATGTCTTGCATTCGACTTTTTCTGAAGATCAAAGAAAATACTTTTCATGTTCTGTCAAGGCAGTTCTACAAAACCAGGGTTACTTGGTTTTGTATAATTTGTAATGGGGGGGGACTGAACTGCTCCTCATTTGGGAATTAAACCTAAAACTGTGCAGTCTTTTAGGTTTACAGTGTTGAGTGATCCAATGCCGTTCTTCAGTGTGACTGTGAACAGCCTGGTGCCCAAAAACTATGAAATCTATTCATTTCACTTTTCAGTTCTCAGGTGGTCTGATTGGGTTTGCCTCATCCTTGTGTTGCCATGGCGATGCGGGAGTTGGTGGAGGCAGAATGCGGGGGAGCCAATCCCCTCATGAAGTTGACCAGTCACATGACCAAGGAAGGGGGGGCATGGCGGCACCGCTCAACACCTACAGTGAGTAATTTGTAAATATCCATTAGCTAAATCATTTCTTGTGTGTACATATTTTTGAGTCTTATTGTGAAATCCGTGCTTGACAACAGCTGTGACACTACTTGTTCTGTTACCTCATTTTGCCCTTTTTTTTCTTAGATTCCCCCCACTACTATAGAAATTGCAACTGAAGAAGAGGTCAGTGCTTATATTTCTTTTCGTATTCAGTATATTGTGTTTACTTGAATACTGTATAATGTTTAATAAAGGTTCCTCACTCTATAGTCCTGTGAATACTGGATGAATTCCCTTAATATAGTCTCTAAAAAGTAGAACAATCATTCAGCTTAGCAATTAGCTTTAGTGGCATGTTTTTATTTTTGCTCCAGCTGGTGAATGAGTTCCTCCAGGCGCCCCCGCGTCCCCCACACACATTTGACATGGGTCAGCTGTTAGAGGAAATGCAGCAGATTGACCAGCAGAGCTACAGACAAGCACCACAGAGAGGTAGGTTTCACTATTACATGTATTTTGCATATATACCAATTTAAGTTGTACTTGTGCTTAACTCTGCACACAAACAGTTTTTCAGCATTTTAAGCACCACATATTTCAATGTCACAGCTCCAGATGTGGCAGCGTTGGCCCTCTCTGGTGACTGGGCGGCCGAGTTCCTCTCAGGTCCCGACTCTGCCTCCGCACCAGGGCTCACCGCTCTTGGTGATGCAGCAGATGCTGATTGGACGAGAGAATTTATTGCTGAGGCTGCAGGTGAATTTATTATACTTGCTCTTTCTTGCTCTCCCCTGTTTCACTCTGGAAAACACACGTTTGCTTGATGTGCACTTCATCTTTCTGGAGTCATCATCAGTCTGTCACAGATCATCAATTTTGACTGACAGCAGTGCAAATTTGCCTTGAATAAATCCTTTTATTTTTGCATTGTGTGTCATTTTTTACAACCTGCTGTGTTTTCCTTTTTCTCTCTCTCTCTCTCTGTCTCTCTCTCTCTCTCTCTGCTCCAGATCCTGGACGCTGGGCAGAGGAGTATCTGGAGCAGTCGGAGGAGAAGTTGTGGCTGGGAGACCTCGGAGACAAGGAAAGCGAATGGTTAGAACGGGATGGGGGACATGGATAGAGAGTGTTGAATGTATGGATATGAAAAATGGCTTACATAAATGGCTGCTTTAGTCACACTGCAATAAACGTGGAGCATTGACAAGACACTTGTCGGGGGAGTAAAATAGAATAGGAACACAGGTAACAAAGGATAGCAGATTTTGAATTCTGAACCTTGATAATGTTCCTGACTTCTTATTGAGTGGATGTGTCTGAAATGTTAAACCATCTGTAGCCTTGTCTGGTCATGTTGAGCTCTGTTGATGTATAGATTAACGGGCGTACAGATGTCTAATCATCAACATAGTTCACTGACCTCAAAAGAACTCACATGTACAACAAAGCCTTTAGCCTGCATTGATTTCTACATATGAAATAGAACTGTTTCCCTTTTATCTCGTAACCCCTTATAGTATAATATTAACCTGTTTTTGTTGTTGATCTGGCAGGACAAAGGAGTACCAACCAGGAGAGGAGCTGAGGCAGACAGCCAATGAGCTCGTCTCAAAGGTTGATGACCCTAAGTTACAAAACACAGAGGTGAGCAGCGACTTCATTTGTACCTGACAGCCACTCTTTTATACCATGTGTCATTCCTTTTTACATATCTTTCACCATATCTTTTCTCTTTTTCTTTAACATTGTTGTAGAGTAGTTCATTGGGAGCATAGTACATTGGTAATGTTTTTATACTGTTTTTTTGTTTTGTTTTTCAAGGTTCTCGTCTTAGTTTGGAATAAACTTTGTTGGTTTGGAAAGAAACAGCAGTATATTAGTATAAAACTGACCAGTTAGTAATGGTTATGGTAATGGTAAATGCTGTCATTTCTTTCGTTGTGTAGTTCCTGCGATTCATTAGGCAGATTGGCGAGGGCAGTGTGACAGTGGAGAGCAGAACAGACAAACAGCTCACAGATAAAGCTCAGGCCGAGGAGGCTCAGAACTGGGCCTCCAACCTCAACCAGGTACGAGTCAATGCCCACTGAGGAGGGGATGGTTACAACATTGGGGGAGAACATTGAACATTGGTTCACTTTTGCACAGTATAGGCCATGCCTTATGACTCATTACCCCAGTATCTGATGCAGAGTAACATTTTCCAAAAATGTAACCAAAAGCAGCCCACTCCACTCCCTGTAATATGAAGCTCAAGGCTGCACAGCATTGCAGATGGAATTTGTTCAGCAAAGAGAAGCCTCTATTTCTCTTCATGTGCATTTAGTTTTTAATGTGTGCAGTCAAGCTCTGGTTATTCCCATCTTGACTCAGTTTTCCTTTTAGTTTTTGATTTTACTGGGGTTCTAAGTTATGACTTTGACTTCATTCGGTTCAGGCAGGAAATGGCTGATGCCAGGTTTTGGATTTTCCCCCTAAAATCACAATACTATGGGAGCTGATTTCTGCCAGGAAAAGAAACAAGAGATCAAAAGTTTGATGTGAAAAAAATATTCATACTCACAGTAATAATGACATAATAAATCAGATTTATGAGATAGAAAAAAAAGCCTCATCATAATATATCATCATTTTGATGTAGTAAGTCAAGATTTTGACTGTCTATGAAGTTGAATATAAAATTTTGAGATAGTAAGCCTAAATTTATTTCATAAGTTTGACTCACTATCTCATAATTTTGACTGCCGGTGCTTTTATTTTTATCATGTTTAACTTTTCATCTATTTTCTTTTTCTTATCCTGGCGGAAGCTGTCTTCCATATTGTCCTGTGCATGTGTAGCTCTTGGCCTGTTTTTGATGAATATCTGTTCATGGCTCCATTGTACTTTGCCCTCTAACTTTGACATGTTACTTTTCCCATTTTTTCGACCTGCCTTTTGTACTCTCGGCTTGCCATTCCTTCAATTAACAACCGCCATTCATCTACTTCTCCTACTTAAAAATTACTCCTACTCCGCCCACCCCTCCAAAAAAAAAAAAAAAACCTCCTCACCAACCACTCACCCCTCCTCAAAACATTGCCCCCCATTCCCACCGCCACCCCTCCTCGCCTTCCGCCATAGTTCCTGACGGAGACGGGGGGAGGGAGTCTTCCCTTGGAACCCCCAGAGAGGAATGAGAAGATTGAGAAAGTTAAGGCTAAACAAGCAGAGCAGTGGGCCAAGGTCGTCAGGAAGGTAGGGCCTCTGTGGTCTTAGCAGCGATAGAAGTTTTATTTTTAGCTTCAGGTATTACTATATTTAAGTTTTGCAACATGTGTTGTACATACAGTTTTGTCCTGCACGTAAACCAGAAGATACATGCAGCTTTAAAGTATTGTGTTGTTATTTAGTGCATTTATTATCTGATTAACAGGTCAGGAGTGTATTAAGAAGAATGTAAGAAAGGAGTAGGAGAAATTTAGCTTTTTCTATGTTGTTTCTTCTTTCATTTTTTCCTCCTCTCCATTCACTTCCCTCTATATTTTTCCTGTTTCAATATCTCCATCCTCAGCTCTGATAACAATTTTCATAGCCAGCCTGCTGACTCGAGTCAACTACTGTCATTGATCTTCACTGATATTCAGGTGTCAGTGGACTCGGCTGAAGCCTGGGTAGATGAGTTTGCCACAGCAGGACCGGATTTCCAAGAAGCTAAAGCTGCAGTGGAGGTGAGATGACAGTCAATGAGCTAAAACTGAAGTAGTAGTAGTAGTATTAATTTGGAGCAGTGGTAACGTAGTGGTTAAAGAACGTCTGTGTCCTGGAAGATCGAGGCAGGGAAACTTACCTAAACATTTAGCCACAAGGTGCCCTTGATCAAGTAACTTATTCCTGTTTGAGAAAAAATAAACCACTCTCTTTTTACTGAGTTATGCTACAAAACGCCATCAATAAAATCTCATTTGTCCCTTGGAAACGTAAAGGTCAAATACTTCTATAATACGGGATGATGTATGATGTGAGGAGACTGTGAAGTAATGATTTGTCTCTGTCATTTTGTCAGAGTGATGTGGATTTCTGGGAGAAGCTGCAGCAGGAGTGGGAGGAGATGGCTAAGAGGGATGCTGAGAGCCATCCCTGGCTGTCTGACTTCGATCAGCTACTCAGCACTTCTTATGACAAGGTAGCTGTCAACCTGCTCAGAATAGGCATCTGCTGAGGAATACTATCGCTTTGCATGTTTGAGGATTTCAGCATTTTTGCACATACGGCTCTACTTGATGTCTAAAAGTATGTGACATACAGTATGTTACTGCTCTTTGTGTACCTGATTCTGCTCCTCCTATGCATCCTCCTGTTAGAACAGTACACATAGAAATACTCAGAGCATCCTGCATGTTTTCCTTGTGTTTGTCCTAGGGGTATCAGTTTGAAGAGGACAACCCCTACTTATCCCATCCGGACCCTTTGTCAGAGGGAGTGAAGAGGATGGAGGCAGGGGACATCCCAGGTGCCGTACGGTTCTTTGAAAGTGCAGTACAGAGAGAACCAGACAACCAGCTGGTGAGACAGCCTGTGGTTTCTTTTGCATTTTTCAGTCTCCAATTCTTTGATCAACCTCTTATTAATAAATATAAAAACTGTCAAAAAAAAAGTGTCCTTGCTTGCAATTTCACTCATGTTAGTTCCCCAACACAAGGCAGTCGTAATGATGCTGTGGTGTGCGTTTCTTTTCATTAAATTGCAGGCTTGGCAATATCTGGGAACCTGTCAGGCAGAGAACGAGCAAGAATTTGCTGCCATCAGCGCCCTCCGCAGGTTGGAATAGTATAGTATAAACCGTCACTTCAGATGAAAAACATACACTGTACTTAGTAACAGTTGGGTGCAAATATACGTAGTGCATCTAAGTTTGCAGTACAGATACAGTTCCTCTGGAGGATATTTTTATATAGTCACCTGTTTTCTCTGTAGACCTTTTACATTTTATGATACTTAAGGTACTTTTTCATAATGGAATTAGTCCCGATTAACTTGTTTTGTAACTTAATAATGAGTTCAGTGGTTGTAGGGCCTCTTTTGAGTGAACAAAATGTAATCAATCATGAAAATAGATTCAATCCAGTTACCTTATTAATGAGTGTGTAGCAATCTTCCAGTTTTTGTGTCGGTAGCCACCACTTTTTCCCATTTCCACCCATCAATCAAGTCTTTGGCAATTTCTACCATTTGCTATCTCACCTAAAAAGATGTTATTCCTTCTGAATCGTTTCCTCTTCCCATTGCCTCTCTTCTTTCTTTAGATGTATAGAGCTGAAGAACGACAACCTGACTGCTCTGATGGCGTTGGCTGTCAGTTTCACCAACGAATCGCTGCACAGGCAGGCCTGTGAAACTCTTCGCGACTGGCTAAAGCACAATCCAAAATACCGTTCCGTGTGGGAGCAGAATGAGCATGAACGCCAAAAGGATGGTGCCAGAGAAAGGGACAAGGAGAGGGAGAGGTTCGGGTCACTGCTGCCAGAGTGAGTATCACACAGAATAATTTCAGGTTTAAAACTGAACATACAGATCATACATCATCTTCTGACTCTTTATCTGTTTGTTTCTTTTTGTTTTCCTGCACAGATCTTTGTTTACTGATGTCCAGTCCCTGTTCCTGCATGCAGCCAACTCTGACCCCGCCCAGGTGGACCCCCAGCTGCAGTGTGGTCTTGGAGTTCTCTTCAACCTCAGCGGGGAGTACGACAAGGCGGTGGACTGTTTCAGCGCGGCTCTCTCTGTCACACCACAGGTACATTATTGATTATTAGAATCAATCATTATTGTAGAAGCCAGAACTGAGATCCTAACGTCTGTGTTCGCACTGCATGTTTGTTTCTGAGCTCTCACTTTTTTTTCCTTCTTTTTTCCTTTGACTCCATCAGGACTACCTGCTGTGGAACAAGTTGGGTGCCACCCTCGCCAATGGAAGCCGCTCAGAGGAGGCAGTGGCCGCCTACAGGAGAGCTCTGGAACTGCAGCCCGGTTTCGTCCGCAGTCGGTACAACTTGGGAATCAGCTGTGTCAACCTAGGAGCACACAGGTGAGAGAGGACTTGTTTGGTTTGTAAAATTGACCAAAAATGTGCCAGTTTTAAGCTTTAAAATGGATGTTATTTTGGTCTGCTTACTGTTACATTGGACCGATAGAATGATTTACACTGCTTAAATAAATGTGACACAAGATGAATGTCAATGACACTACTCTGCTATGGTATGAAAGTGTGAACACATTTTTCTATGTTGTTTTTGCAATCATGATTTGCAATCATCATTTTTTTATTTATTTAATCAAGCATTTTTTTTATTGGCACACACAGCATTCAAAATAAAAACACTGTCATATTTGTCTTATGTTTGTATCAAATTGACTACCAGCAAATTATCTTTGTTCTTGTTGATTTGATTGTGCAGCGTAATAGCTTTTACTTCCACTAGATGGCAACAGCGATTTTGTAAAATACACTCCAGTTACCAATTTATTAGAGCCCTGAAATAAATTCTACTTTTATGAAGGTTATAATGTAGAAATGTTTTTCAGAGAGATTATTATCTAACTTTATGGTCCTGTTGGGGGCTGCAGTCTGTGGTGCTGTTGTTTTATATTTAATTATGCTGAGCTGTGGTGTTTCTAGTGTTTAGAAGCTCAATTTTATTACTATGTTTAATTATTTCATGTTTATATATTATATTAGTCCGACTATTATCTTATTGGGCTAAAATTAATTGGGGAAAATCTGTACTCGTATAAATGTAGTCACGGTCACTCTCGCTAGAATTGTTGCTCATCCTGTTCTGCATTCTGTCTCCTCATCCTCAGAGAGGCCGTGGAGCACTTCCTCGAAGCTCTTTCTCTACAACGCCAGGCCGCCGTGGACGGCGCGAGAGCTGTGAGGGGGCCTGGAGTTGCCGCAGCCACCATGATGTCTGACAACATCTGGTCCACCCTGCGCATGGCCCTCAGCATGATGGGAGAGAGCTCGCTGTACGCCGCTGCTGACCGTCGGGACTTGGACACGTTGCTGGCTCACTTCTGCCAGAGAGAGGTCGACGGTGGGACTGAATGAGGACTAGCGGGGGGGAGGGTGCTTATTGAGTGTGAGTGTGTTTCGCTGGGAGGTAAATGTCTGGGTGACTGAATGAAGCGGAGAGAATCAGAGGGGGTAACGGTTACGGAAAAAATGGAAGAGGAAGACACTGTGAATTATCCACCATCCTAGAGACATCTTCTTGTGGTTCTGTGCGTTTAAATGACTTTTAGCAAATATTGCAGTATTAGTCTCTACCTGGAAGACACAGCCAGCAGTGATACAGTCTTGTCACTGTAGTCTACATGTGTTGACAGTCCTCACATTTCCTCCCGCTCTGTTGATCTGGAGAACTGGATTTGATTAAATGTCACTTTTGATTTTAAATTTGTTCTCAATGAAGAAACGTGAACGATGATGAATCCATTCTGTGGTCAGTAAACCAGCGATGTGGACAGTTTGTTTGTCAGGACACTCAATGCTCTCAGTGTTTCTTAGGTTGAACTGTATTCTCACTACAGTTATGTAGATTAAAGGTACAAATGTTGCTGTAATACTGAAAAGAGTACTGCTTTTTATCAGAACGATTAGGTCGGTCCGGAGTACAAACACTATTCATCAGAAGAGCTACAGCAGTTTGTTTCTTTTCCTTTTTTTGTTATGCTTTATTTAATTTTTCAGTAATCAATTATCAGCCAGGATGATGAACTGACAACCAGCGGGACTGTTACTGTTATGATAAGGTGTGTGTGTAGTATGAGTGTGTGTGTGTAGTATGAGTGAGTGTGTGTGTGTGTGTATTTGGTTGGGTGGGGGGTATTAATCGTGCATCGGATGATAAGATCATATAATTGTAATATCATTGAGAATGATTTCCCTCTCTTTCTCTTTTTTCATATTGCTCTTGTACAACTATTTGCTTCATTGTAAAATAATGCTATATGCCATATTGTGTATTGTAACATAATTGTTGCACTATAATTGTTTTCAGGCTAGTTAAATCCTGACTGCAATGTTTAATATAATATTCAGCAATAAAGCTTTGATTCCATCTGTTGGTGACTTTTTTCTGAATCATTGAACAACATGGCTTTGCTCCAGTGACATAAAAAGTATGGAGAGCTTAAAAGATTTATTCAACAAATCTGATAACAAATAACAGATGGCAGTATGAATTTCAAAGTTGTAAACTCTTGCACTGTGAATGTAAATCAAAATGATTTTGTGTCATGAATAATGACGATAATCTCAGAAAATAGACTTGCAGCCTTTTGAGCTGTAAACTGAATTATAATTATATGACAATAATGTGATGAAACCCGTCAATGTTATTACCAAATTGATGAAAATCTGCATTTTGTGGGTTAAAAATGTCTCAACACGTTGTTTTAAATCACCTTTATGTTTTAAGGCAAATGCTGACATAGAGTTGACTGTTTGGGGCGACTCTACGTCTCAACATTTATAAATAAAAACAGTGTTAATGCCCTCTAAACAGAGGAGGGCAGCCCGCCTCCCCCAGCCTCCACTTTGGGAGTAATTCATATAATTTATTTTTTGCCTCACCCTCCTGTTCCAAGTGTGCAAGAAAACCTACAGTGACCAAGTGACAAAAAAAATTAACAATAAAAACAAAAGACCCTATCTAGAGTCAGCATTGGGTTTATCTGTTCTCTAGAAAGAAACATTGTGGTTCAACATAGTGGCATCTGGAGGACTGTAGATAAAAACAGCTCATCCTAAGTTAATGAAAACAATTCTTATTTTCAAGTTATTATGTACTAATGAAAACATACCTTTGAATATTATATTCCGCTTCTGCCACAAAAATCCTTCTTAATGTCACACACATTTAATTAAAAATAAAGCCAAAGTATTTTCTTTAAAATAAAGATAATCAACCTATAATTAATTATTTTAGTTATTATGTCACTTCATTTATGGAGCCTGTGTGCTATCAGGTCAGTAAAATTTTGTCTAAAATATGTTTTAAATTTAACTTTTTTCCTATTATATATAATAGTGCAACATTATACAATGTTGTAGTTTCTGTTTTTCAAATTACCACCATACCATAGCTTTACCACTTTTACCATAGTTTTTTAATATATGTATTTATTTATTTCACCTAAATGCTGCTGTGACAAGGGAATTTCCCCTTTGTGGGATTAATAAAGTAATACAAATACAAATACAAATTATTCTACCTTCTGTTGCTGCTGTGTGGATTGGATTCAATTTAAGTGATCACAAAAACAGTAAATTTAGGAAATACAAAACTGAATTGTGAGATGAAATATGACAGACACATAGATAAATAAATACATTTACAAAAAGTAAAACTTATATATAATTTATTTCATAAGTTTAGTAGAATGATTAATTATTAAGATTTTAATTTCTTTCTACTTTTACTTTATGAATGCATCCGTTTTATGCAAATGTAATTAATCAATTTATATAAGCTTTTGAACGTGTATGGTGATTATAACTGAACAGTGCAGTAGGTGTGGGACACTCCAGCCTCCATACATCTGTTAAAAAGTCAAAATTGCGTTAATTTTCACAAATAAAGTAAAAATTCATGATGTATTTTTGTGTTTTGTTCTCCCTAATGTCCCCTAAAACTGTCCCTTTATTAAATCTGACATTGTCTTCAGGCAGTTTGATCGAGGAGGGGCATATTTCGGCATTGCCCCAAACGTTAACATTTAATTTTTCTCCACACACACTCGCGATAAACAAAGCTCGCATTTATTTCAACTTTCAAATGTGTTATCAGCAGCGACGCCACGCCCTGTTCTAGAACGCCGCGCTCTGGGCCAATCAGCGCCGAGTAAATGCAGAGGCCGCGGACGCTGATTGGTTCATTCAAAAATAACATGCGCGCAGCCCCGCCATTTAAATGTTTTAAAAGTCGTGTGCTTCCCCTTGTTTATTGAAAGTGTGGAGTGAGTGAAAAGAGTGAGCTGCACGCCTTAGCGACTGTCTTCGTCTTGTTTGAGGTAAGAGAGAGAATATATTTAAAACTACACACCTCAGTTTGACGCTAAAATAGTCTGAACTCCAGATCAGACTCACTACGATCTATGGTTACTATCACAACGTGAAATCACATGATTTTATGAATGAAATGTGGGAAACTTCAAGCTAACTGACCTTAGCTGAGCTAGCTTGTTGTATTTGCCAACCAGTTTTTAATTTTAAAGCTCAACTCTTAATGTGCAGGTTGTTTTTAATCCTTACATAGACTAATGCAAGTATGTAAACACTTAAAAACGTTATGTATTAATGTAACTTAAAAGGTTAAATTAATTTTAGGGCTACTTTTTGTATCATAATATACAGACACTAGTTTAAATAATCACAAAAAAAGCCACAAATGTGTCTCCAGTGTTTTGTTTTAACTTGTATTTGTGTTACTGTTCACCACTAAGTAATAGTAACTCAACATCTATAGTATTTTATCTGTATTCTTTACTAATGTTTCATATTTAAATGGTTTTTTGTTACCATATTTGTTCTATATGTTTTGTGTTGCTTTTTTTATTATGTTGCTCTGGTAGAAAACTGTATTCTGTCTTTATTCCCCTGTGAGCCAGTTCACATTAAATAAGCGTCATGGGATCCAGTGAGAGCAAGATGGTTGTGTCTGCACCAATAAAACCAGAGCCGGCCATTAAAAACAGTCGAGTCGGTCACCTGGTAGATCCACGCTCTCCTTCAACAGGAATTGATCGTACACCCATTCAGGTAGGTTTCCTGGTTGACTTATTACCAGACATGCAGTGTGTGGCAGGAGGAGGTTTAAACCATGCCATATTTTTTTTTTTTTTTTTTTCTAGGTTGGTGGCCTTGTGCCTAAATCTGTTGCTGAGGTGAAAAGTGAGTGTCCACTGGCATTCACTGATCCCCGCTCACCTAGTGTCGGTGTTTCCCGTACCCCAGTCAGAGAAGCCATGAGAGGTAATAATTTGATAAAGAATAACTTTCAGCTTTGCCTTTTCTCACCTGCAAAATACCCTGTAACATGATGTTCTTCAATTTTATCCTACAGTGACAGTTGGGGTCTTTGCTCGCCGCCTGGGCATGATTTTTCACAATGAGACTGAAGGCAAAGCCCCTGAGGTCCCTCAGAAACGCTTCAGTGATGCCCTGGAGGAGGAGGTCTTTAAGAGAGAAGAGCTGGCTTCCACTGAGCCCCTCCTGACTCCTCAGCCCATGCGCAACTTTGGCTCCCTGGCTGAGCACGCTAACCTTCTGGCCACCCCTGTGCTGCCCCCTCTCCGAAACGCAGGTAACTCAAGCCCCTTTGTGCTTCTTGAGGAGCCCCAAGTGGAGGTGGAGATAGAAACTGAGGCAGACATTAGCCTGGAGGAGGCAGAGGAGGCAAAAGAGTCTCCCCTTCACAAGAGGCTGAGCATGAGCCTGATAACCTGCCACGAGGGAGCAACCTCAGCCCAGATATTTGCTGAGGTGCACCGTGACAGTACTTCATCCCCAGCGCCCAGTGTGGAAGTGGAGCCAATCGGGGATGGTGTGGATCATTCTTATGCTGTTCCTTCTATCACGGTTGAACCTGAGACCCCTACTGAGCTTTCCCTACCTACTGATACAGATGCTTACCTAACTCAGGTGTCTCCTGCACAGTCAGAGAAAGCGGAGCAAATTCCATCTTCTGAGGAAACAAAAGAGCTCGTTAAAGACTCTTCTGCTCTTGCTCCATCAAAGCCACCCACTGTCCCCAGCCCGGCACAGCCACAGCTCTCCACCGGCATCCGCTGCCCCACCTTTGACCCAAAGAGCCCCAGTCAGGTGGTGTTTAAGCCGCAGTGGTTGGGAAAAGGTTTTGGCGCCACTGGGCCACGAGCTAGAGGAGTACAGGTGCGCGGTGGAAAAGGAGGCTCCTCTCCTCTTGCCGTCCGTGTGGCTGTGAAGAACGTGACCAAGGAGAACAAAGGACAGTCTGGAAAACGGAAGCAGAAAGGTGTGTAGAAAGCTTGTGGCTTCTCGTTGTCTATGGTAACGAGATGTTGCTTGACGTTTCTTTTCTCTTCAAGGTACTGAAGGCCGCTCCCCGCTGCAGATCCTTAAGGAGGCCAACTCGCCCAGGGACCAACGTCCTCAGGTACCATATACAAGCACTTGGCGCTAGTGATGCCTGTTCTTCTTATTCACTGAATCTTGATGAGTAATTTTGTTGTTCACAACCAACTGCTGAGGCTGACGTGTCCTCCCCACTTTCCAGATGAAGCTGAAGGTGTCCACCCCAGACAAGCAGAGGCTTGTTGGACAGATGGATCGCAGAGTGCTAGCAGTGTCTTTGGATAAGGAGAATAGATGATTCACTGCAGCGACGTGTACAGAATCCTGCCACTTTTTAAATCTCAAAGCATTTATGTGCATATCTTTCTTAAAATGATTTTTGTCCTGTGAATATTGCTTTACTCCCACTTTGTGCATTTTTCTATCTGTTTTGTCTTGTAAATATAAATAAAAATTATTTGCATACATACTTCAGCTTTAAACTATTTTGATTTATACTGGTTTTGCTATAGTTTATTTTATATTTTTTTTCTTTTTTTTTTTATGAAACATTTTTTATAACTTGATTTTCTCCAACACTTAAATTGTAAAATGTCTAGTGTTTATTTCTGTACAAACAGAATAAAAGCTCAACACTAACCATTCGTTAATGTCATGCAACTGCCATTTGAATTGCACCATTCCTGGTTTTAGCAATCTTGTTTATACAATCTTCCCCATTTTAAATTAACTGTGTACTGAAGTTTATCTAATGAACACTAGAGGGAGCCTGTTTAAAAAAAACCAAAAAAAACATTTACATTTAAAGTTTATCCATAGACACCACGTGGGTATGCTTTTATCCAAACATTTAAATAAATTTAACTTGTAAACCCTCACACTTAAAAATAGTGCTTCAAACAGGTGTGCCATAATTTATGCCTCACTCTGTATCCTGTGGGATTTAATTATGGACATGTAAACAAAATTATAACATAAGTCAGCATGTCACAAAATAACACTAAAGACCTGTGTAATGCAGAATCCCATGTTTATTAGACAGTCCTTAAGAAAGGTAGTATTGCTTTATTTTGCACAGTGTGTATCCAGTGTTGGAAAAGAGGCAGTCCAAATTCTACTCAGAACTTAGAGATATATATTTTTTTTCTGTATGTACACAAACTGTCCTTCAAGTTTATCTTGTACAATGCAGAGGAAAAGGTAAGCAGTCATATACAGATTCAGATGTATTGCTCATATGCACACAATAGACGTTATCATCCATATAACACTCATACAAAAGTCCTCCTGTCCTGAGACAAATGGGTCATCTTTTTTTTTTTTTTTTGTAAGTGCTTAGTGAACCATTTTATTATCCCATCTGTCAGTTCAACAGTTTACCCAAAGCACTTTTCAGGTCTAGCTACCGGCAGGGGGGTTAGGCCAAATAATGAGACCCCAAATCCGGGTAAATATAGTCCATCAATCACATACAAAACAATTCAAACACTAATGTAGACATCTGCAAACTATAACTCAATTTTAATTAAAGTTAGAAAATGAAAAGAAAGTAAATGTAAGCATCTAGGGAATCTACCAAAAACTAAGAACAAACAACAGTCTGAAACAAAAAATGCAAATGCTCCGATTATTCATATGACATAACTTATGCTTTGATATAAAACACAGCATATTAGTATAGCTAGTGTGAACCTACACAGGCTGTAACTTGACACATATTCAATTCTATCTCATCCAGTGTGCTACCATTTCCATTTTGGCAACTGTTCTCGTTGGGTGATCTCTGAATTGCTGCAATAAATGTGCATATGTTATCGATTTGAACCGCAATATAACAAACTATTAAGAGGAATGATGTTTTCTGAGGCCCCCCAACCCCTTGTCCCACCCCAAATTCCCCCATAATGTGAGAAGAAAGGTGAGAGCGCGATGTGACAGAGAGAGGAGAAAATCTTCACATTACAACCCTTCTCCAACATTAGATAGGACTTGGCACAATTAAAATACCCTCTTCTCACCCTATGCAGCTGCTCGTCCCTCATCCCTCCCTCAAACTCCAATTTCTTTGTTTTATCTTCTTCACTTTCTCCCAGGCAGGTGTTAACTGCTCTCTTTCTGCTTGCTGGTGAGGAACAACCTCAGTTCCATATCTTGAGGAAGCTGTCCCAGGATCCTGTGCAACATGCCATGCCGTCTGAGGACACCCCGATACAGCTCACTCTGTTGTCGTGACCAGCCAGCACTCCTGGACCACGTCACAGAAGAAATACATGATGTGAGCTGAGAAAAGTACCACTAAAAAATAATGCCATTAATATTACTCAGATGCAGGACACTCCATCCCATAACGGGTGTTAAACGCTGGAGGTTTTAGATGCTAAATTCACTTTGTCGTCTCTATTTTCCACCTGTACTCACCCACTCTCTCAGATTTAAGTGCGTCCCAGATGTTGACGTTGAAGTCGTCATATCCAGCCAGTAACAGGCGTCCAGACAGGGAGGGGGCCAAGGAGGTCACCCCGCACATGATGCCAGAGTCCTGGTAGGTGATGAGCTCCTGGTCGGCTCGCAGGTCGTACAGCTTGCAGGTGGCGTCGTCCGACCCTGTTATCACTGCGTTACCATTGGGGAAGAACTGGGAGAAAGAGAAGTGTTTAGAAACTCTGCCTCATTTGAGCACTAAAAGTCAGAGCTCTGATACCGAAGTGATCCTCACCCCAATTGCATTGATGTCACTCTCATGGCCTCCAAAGGTCTGTCTGCATTCGGCCTCCCTGATGTCCCACAGCTTGGCTGTGAAGTCACACGCCCCTGAGATGAAAAACTTGAAGTCTGGGGACACGGCCAGGGACATGCAGTCTCCCTGGTGTCCGGCAAAGATGGTCTTTTGGGTCCCTGTCTCAATGTCCCATAGTACGCTGGAAGGACAAGGACCAAAGGCAAGTTTTAACTACAGAGAGGGAAATTTCAACATAGTTTTTAATTCAGTTAATCATACTATATTCTCACCAAGTGCAGTCTCCAGAGCTGGTGATGATCTCAGTGTCACTGAGGAAACGACAGCAGGACAGGTAACCTGGGCAACCAAAGAAATACCTTATGAGGAACCTCAAACACAGTGTAAGTGTAATCAAAGGATTCCCAACTCAATCAAGTCCAACTTAAGAACACCGGTGGCTTCAAGAAATTTAATTTCCAAGCAGTGTTGTCCTACCTGTGTGTGCCGCCAGCTCACGCATGACCTTGACGTTCCCGTCCTTGCCCTTGAGGTTGTAGATGGAGCACATGTTGTCCAGACCACCACAAGCCACTAGGTTCCCCGAAGGTGCATAGGCACAAGTCATCACCCACGATGACTTGAGAGGAATGGCATTCACCTGTAGACACACAGAAGATGAGGTGAGTTTCTTGTCTTCAACCACTAAAATCAAATGGACTTCAATCACTGAAAAACTTAAAGGATTTTCTGAACCAGCTTCTTAGTATAAGAGACGGGGTCCAACATGAACACACTATTTTCTGCCAGAAACATTTTGGTTATATAACACTGGAGATTTCTGTTTTTCTTTTTTTCACTGTGTGGGCGGGACTCAGTCAGAAAAAGGTAACGTCACGTACTTCCGTGCAGAAATCAGGATTTAGAAACATTTGAATCTGATGACAGTTGATGGGTCATTTGGTCACATTTTGTCAATCAAAAAACCACACGGTCCTCAAGAAGCAGATTACTATTAATAACTATTAATAATACTCAATGAAATTTTGATTGTTGCTTACTTAGTAATTAGTATTTCATATTTTAGAGAAATTCTTAAGATTAAACCAAGTTTTCAGGGCATTTAAGAAGTGAGGTTGCATGTGTAGTTTGTGTGTTTGAGGATGGATGCACACTGCAAAAGTTTGGCCTCAATTAGTGCTCAATTCCATCTGGAAAAGCAGATTTATGGCTTTGTATGGTGTACATTTGCCCTCAGCTACCATTACTGTAATTATGATGAATCTCTCCTTTGCTCTTTCCTACCTTGTTGGTTGTAATGCTGTCCCACACTATGAGTTTTCCATCTTGTGAGGCACTGACACACAGCCTGGTGGTGTAAGAATTATACTGATTAAAAATGTGAGACAGAGAAAGGATTGCTGCTGCTGTGTTAGCTGCAAAATGAACATCAGGTACAAGCCATGTTTCTATTAATTCATCCAGTTAAAAGTAAACTACTTCCCAAATCTAATTTACCAGTCAGAATTCCCTCTTGCCGTTATTGGCTCTCCTTGCACCAATTCTGAGCTAAATTGAATAGAAACCTATCACATCTTGGCTCTAAAATAAAACAGCAGGTGCTCTTTCAATTTGTGTAAAATAAGCTGTGTACTTACTTAGTATCAGTGCCCCAGTGCATAGCGTAGATCTTGGCAAGGTGACCCCTTAGTGTTTTCCTGGTCTTCAACTGGACACGACCCACCACGGTGATCCCGGCTGCTGCCTCTTGCAGTGTGGTGTCCTGCACCGCCTTACGAGCTGCCTGGGGAGCAAACACAAACACAAGTAGTTATGTTACCGCCAGTATTGATCCAGGATGTGGTTATGAAAAATATACAGGTATTTCTTGGGGAAGAAGATGTAAGATATGTCTTTAGGTCATAGTAAAAAGCAAGCTCATAATGTCAATGATAACTACTGCAGACAGCCACACTGAGTTAATTAGAGATGGTAGAGATGGGCCTACTGACAGTGATCTGGTCTTTGAGACTGTCCGCCTCCTTTCGCAATTGCTCCATTTCACCCATGGTGATGGTTGTTAGGCACTGTCACCAATGGAGACGAGGAAAGATGGCAGGAAAGCTGATAATCCTGAAATGAAGAAGAATAAGAAAAAACAAAAACAGAATTTAGTTATCAAGACACAATTGAGTCATAATTCCTGTACACATTCCCTGTACAGATACTTCCTCCTGGAATTTTACCTGCACTTACCTGAATTTTTTTTTAATCCACCCAGTCTCCAAGTAAGTGCTATTTTGCAAGTCAAACTGGCCCTCGTCTACTTTGCAAAGTTTCATAAACACGCAGGAGCTCACACAAAAAACCCACAGAGCACACGTACACAGGCATTGCGCACGCACACATAAACACACATTGACTGTATGAATATTCAAGCATGACATTAAAAGTATTTGTTAAGATGTGACACTTCTTGAGAGTACACATCCTCACCCTAAATGTACACACAAACCAGTATGTCCTGTAATAATGTCATCAGTGTATCAGCTCTCAGCCAGTCACCTCTCACTTCCCAACAAATTCACAACAATGACAGGTGGTTTGTGCCATTTAAAACTCCAGTAAGCTCTCACCTAATGTTGATGGCTATTGAATTTGGTAATGTTGTGATTAAATGAGCGATGTTTAGCAGTAACCCAATCACCTAATGGACAAACTCACACAGTGTGACAAATGTAATCAAGGCACAAGTGAAAAGGCAGAGTCACGATCTCGAGCTGATGTTACAGTGTAGTTCAAAGACACACGACACATGACACTAACTTCATAATACAGCAGCACAATGTAACCAACCTCAACAACAACACCCTCCTCCGTCTACTGTACGCGTGCAGATATTACGACTTTTCTTCCTTGTGAAGAACCAATTGTCATGTTGCTATTTCCTTTATCTTACCTTGAGAACTGATAGGAAGGAATACTTGCGTTGATTTTATCGTATGTGTGCCTGCAGCAATCTCTCTCTCTCTCTCTCTCTTTCTGTATTTGAATGAGTGTGTCCCTGTCAAAACACATGACCAAGTGGATTTGCCTCTAATTTGTTTGAAGTGAAAAGGAGAGGAAGGGAGTGAAGAAGGGAGTGACTCTGTAAAAGAAAGAGATTTGCTTTAATTGTTTATCACTGGGCTCTCTCCTTTATCTATAATGCTTAAAGTGAATGGAAGATGGTCTGAAATGTGTTCAAATGAAATTAGAGTGCTGATTTATGGCCTTTATAATAATGCGTTGCTTCAAACACCTCAGTGGCAACAGTATGGGTGTCCTGCATTAAACTGCTGATGACTGCATTGCTCCTGAAGTTGGTAACAGGGGATTTTAGGCCTTTGTTCCAGATGGGAAATTGCTTTGATAATGAGTGTTGTAATGAATGCTTGAGTGTTTTAGTCACGCTATTACCCTTTTGCCATTCTGTTCCTGGGACCCTGCCATTGTTTCATGTGATTAAATGACTGCTAGGGGTTGCTGGATGGTGAAGTGCATTAACACAGCCAGAGAGAAGAGGGGGCAGAGGGAGGGAGGGAGGGGAGGCGGACGGCGGGGCGACGGAAGGGAGGGGGTTGGAGGGGGAGGGAGGGTAATGAGGCGAGTGCAGGAGAGTGAGTTTTAATCCTACTGGTCTGAGATTTTTCAAGGGAAAGCCTTTTGAATCAAATCTGCTCTCATCCGATTACTGACCTGCTCCTTTGCATCTGGATAGAGATGGAGAGAGGGATCGAGGGGAGGGTGGGGGGGTAGTGGGATGAGAATGAGGGAGGGGGCAGATGGAAGAGGTGGAACAGGATGGATAGAGTTGTGAGAATGGTAGCCTGTGAAAAGGTGAAGTGTTTTCAGTGGGACTGGGCCTGTGAACTTGAGTCTGACCGGTGACTGTCTGCAGTTTGGATCTGTACCTCAGCTCAGAGCTCCTAACCACATACAACAAGTCTTACATTTGTTGTCCAACTTGCAAAAATGTGACCTTATAATATGGCTCTTGATTATTTGATTACAATGACTATATACCTATTGTGTTGTAGCTCCTTATAAACACTAAACTAACATACTGCGTCTGTGCTAGAGTTGACGATACATAACGTGAAATGAAATACATTAGTGTAACCGTTTAGTATCTCTGAATATATCAGGCTGTTGTGGGCAATGTTGTAAATCAATAACCAGGACTGATTAATGGTAATATTGAATTTTTATGTGATTCCTGCATTCAGTGTGATCATGTATCTTTTTTTGTTTAGGTATTAAGCCACCGGATTAGCCAAAAACAGACATACCTATCTTGTTATTTTACCTTATCATCACTTCCTCAGTAGAGATTCCTCTAGTATCACATATATATTAATATAAAATTACATATACCCTAATGGAGGACTCTGTCCATATGGCACAAACGTATTCTAAAGTAGCATGCCCTTTTTTTCTCTTCTTAAACGTGTAGACAGTAATTTCAAACTAAAATATGACCACTTTGAATCTAAATTTGACACCATACGTGATACATCCCCATAAACAACTTAACATAGTCTTATCATGCAGATTATGTATGACAGTATTAAAAATCTGACAACAAAAGGAAATTTTCTTTTTTCAGATTTCCAATCCACATGATAAAACCAGCTTTGTATCCATTGTAAATCCCTCTGTTGTGTGTGCTATAAACACAAGATAAAAGACTAGCTGCATACGTGTGTCAATTAATTTTCAATGCCATCCCCATATTTGATATCAAATTTGTTTTACATACGTCCTACAAACTGTAAGATCACAAGTACACAATATTGTAATTGTGCTGCATTTAAAAAATCAGTAACTTTTTAATTTAGAAATAAATAAATAATTCCTTTAAACTTCAGGATTTTGCCAAATAATGGTTGATAAATATCTTTTCAGCTCTGAACCCAATTTTTATCTGACCCTTTGAATCTGATCCATCATCTGAGCAGCAGGGCACAATTTCACAACTACCAAGAACAAAATATGTAAGCAGCAACATATGACCATCCACTCACCAATTAGGAGACTCCTCTCAAGGTGTTTGGGCAGATCTTTAATCAGTCTTCCTCCAGCGGTCTCCCTCTGGTCGTTGTCATAAGTTCAGCCCGCCTGTTGCCACACTTTCTCCCGCTCATTCACTTTTGGTGTCACACACAGTGGGATATTCCTCCGTCACTCACTCTCTCCACTGCTCCTATGAGGAACAGATGAGGATTGGAGGGATGAAGGGAGATCAGTGATGAGGGGATAAACCCTGGGATGGACAGAAAGAGGGGTGGAGGTGGGGGTGGGAGTGGTGTGCGGTGGGGGTAAACGAGACAGAAAGGGCGAGGAGACAGAGGGGGAGACCAAACAAGGTGCAGAGCTTGGTTATGGGGTCACAAGACATGAGCTGGGGTGAATCCGAATCAAAAACTAAGAGATGGAAACCATGGAGGGGAGGGGAAAGAAGATAAATAGAGGACTTGGGAACATGGCTTTTTATGGTGCTGAGATAGTCTTTAGAAGATCTATGACTGGCAGGAGGGCTTGTGTTTTGTAAACCCGAGGTGAAGCTAATATTAGAAAGTTTATGGGCAGAATGGCAGAGCAGAGATCCGACAGGGTACAGTGGTGATGTAGAGAACAACTTCAGGATCCAGGAGAGGTTTTTCTGGTTCATTCTTATATGCAAACAGTCCCACCAGGCGTGAACATGTACTTACAGTATACAGGGCACGTATACTATTACTGTCTATTGCTCTCCAGTCTCTGTCCTTTTTCTTCTGAGTGTCAAAAAAAACCCATTTCATCTCTTTTTCTTTCCTCATTGTTGACCTAATGTCACACCAAATGGTCTCGGTGTTTGGCCTAAATACTCCTATGGAACGAAGTTAGTTCGTCTTTTCATTTCCGCTGTTATCTGTTAGAGAGCGTGCCCCTTACTGCTGCTGCATATTACCTAACAAAATAAATCACCTGTATTGGTTATGAAACAGCACAGCTTGCACTGAACTATCATGAGATAGCACTTTCAGGCCAAAGAGTCCAGTGACCACATTTCAACCCAAAAGGCCCTTTGAATCGGCTGCTGGTGGTCCCCTTTTCTTTGCTAAGTTGCCTTTCATGGAATCCCAGCTGCTTTATCAAAGGTGGTGCCCGTTGGTTTCTCCTTAAAGTTTTCATGTTGATCTTTTGACAGTCAGGAGTTGGCACCTACGTTTGCTTGGGTAATGTGCATTGTGTCAAGAATATATACTGTAGTTTGCTGTGAGCAAACATGGTGAAACAAGCTATGAATATATCTGTAGTGTTAATAAACGTGCCCATCCAGTGGTACTAAAAAGTACTGTGACACATGTATTATTTAGCATTTTGCTGATTTTTGCTGTTCTTTTGTATGCTCAAGCTCATTGTGCCTCTACTTTTCAAGTGACAGTAGACAGATGATGTAGAAAACACATTTAAATAAGATGAAATAGGGTCTAAATTCTCACTAGTGCCCCAGGATGCTGCTGTCGCTGATTGTGACCTTTGACCTCCCTGTAGAAGGGGCAAAAGTAAAGTTCCCTAAAAGGATCAAGTATCACATTATTACTTTTTATGCAAACCCTTAGGGCAAAAGATTCGGATGATTAAACAGCATCATTGTGACTTTTGTCAGTGTGGACTCAGACATGCACACTCGCACAGTACAAAAAGCTTAAGTTGTGTGTGTGTGTGTGTGTGTTGCCTACTTCCTGTTTTTTTTTCCTGTGATTTAGTGTGGATAAACTCAGTTCTGTAGTTTAAAAGTGTTGACCTTTGCTCACTCAAGCACGGTGACGACAGAAGCCAACTGACTGAGCTGGCTGAGCTGACCCTGGATTTGGAGAAATGGAGTTGGTGCACTGCGGGCTGTGAGATGGAGCGTAAAACTGAGAGAAAACCCAAAACGAGAAAAAAAGGATTTGCTAGCAGGCGAGCAGGCACTGGCCAGGATAAAGACACAGAGAGAGAGAGAGATCAAGAGAAGAGAGAGAGAGAGAGAGAGAAGAGAGAGAGAGAGAAGAAGAGAGAGAGAGAGAAGAGAGAAGAGAGAGAGAAGAGAGAGAGAGAGAAGAG